AGTCCGGACCCCGTACGGGACCCCGAACGCCCGTACGTACGGAGGTCTGCTCGGGGACCTCCGTACGTACGGGCTGCTGACCCTGGTGGTCGGAATTTTTTATTTCTTTTCATAATAAGGGGCGCGTGGTTGTTTTTCAAATTCCGTGCGCGGCTCGTAAACCCGCTTCCTGCTCTATATCTACGCGCCATCTTCCCTTCTTGATGTGCGCTCCTTTGTGTGTGCCTCTTTGTCTTCCCCTAATGTTGTGCCCCATCCTCTCCTTACCTATCAACGCGAGCGATTGGGTTGTCTATCTGGGATGGTTGGAACAATGTGGCGAAAGTGAAGCGCGCGCATCACTTGAACGACCACCCCAATTACACAGAACTATTGGCTCACCTTTTACGATCCTCCTGGAATCCCTACCTTTCTTATATCCTGCCCATCTACACCCCTTGCTACCCGCACCACGCGCTCTCTGCCGCCTTTTGTGCTATAAATTCTCGCAGTCCCTTCCTCTCTCTCTTTGATCTCGGCTGCAATGGTGCGCGAGCTATGCGCGAAGTCCACGGCGTCGAACAGGTTTGACGTTCCCAATGGCGGAGTGACGACGTGGGGTGGAATTAGCGGTAGACTTGGGGGTAAGGCAGTCGGAGTGGCGGAGCGGTAGTGGAGATCAAACCCTGTCAGCAGCAGGGCCTTGTGGCTATGGTTGGCAAATGTTCGGGCTGATTGGGGGGGCTGCGCCTGAGGGAGGCGAGCCTCGTGTGAATTTTGAATAGCGAGGGACTCTCTACTATCTTCATTGCTGCTTTGTCCAAGTGTGGTGTATGAAGTGTCTTGAGGTATGGGTACTCAGTTGTATGCACGATGATTGGTACAAGAGGATAAATGTCTCGTTGTCCAAGATAGATGGATGTGTAGGTGTGTGGGCGCTCACAGGCGCAACTCTGGGGAGCACTGGGTGTCGACCGTCTGCATGAATGCATGAGTGTGTTGAAATTCCCTCTCTTCCCTGACCCTTGTCGATCCCGACACCAGGAGTATGTGAGGGGAACATCGCTAACTCTTTCCTTGCATGAGCAGGTAATCCGGGTCAATTGGGCTGGCGTTTCTCCACGACTTGCGTCAGACAACCAAGGATATCAGTCACATGTATCTCCAAAGCGCGACAGATATCTCCGAAATTCGGTCCTTGTCACCTTTGTCCTAGCAATTAATTGATGATCACGACGCTGCGTCCCGGAGTCTGCACTCCGACTGAAACAGAGAGGGTGAGGTGAGTTCCATTGAGTTGTGTATGGAGTCACTGTTTGCCTCGACGAACGCGAGCGCGGGCAACTGTCCATGCTTAACCCCCTCATCGATCCGTTGCAACGTGCTATCATCCTTCTCGTTCACAGACGACGACAACGTGTACTACGATGCGGACGTACATAACATTCTGTTACAGACTGAGCAGATTCATATGTACAACCTCGCTAGGGTCTACCATGTAGGGGGAAGCGGGTTTGTTCTGATTGACCGGTTCTCCTCTCCTCCCCTAATCCTACCTTCAACCAATTTCACGGTGTTACCCCGGTCCATGGCCCACGCCACGTGGCGGCCTAGGTTTAACTGTCGCTGGTATCGGCAGGGGGATTCATATTCCTGACGAAGACTAGCCGTGGTGTCGAGCGCATCGGCTTCCGCCTTTTTTGAAAAAGGCAAGAGCCCTCTCGACTATAGGTCAGGTCTGAATAAACTTTTGACAAACTTTAGTTTCATCAAGTCTTTAAATTCAACGAAAAGAGTCGGACAGTGTCTGGCGTTTTGAAATCCCCGGTTGCCCCGACATTATTCCCAGACACCATCAAAACGAAATCAGGATCCTTATAAAAATTTTGATGTGAATCCAAACGATCACAAAACAACAATCCCAACAATTGTTTGGAACTAAGCCGGAAATTTTCCACGAACATAGTACAATGCAACAACAAAACTGGATTTAGCCTCCAGAAGCCTTAACTCAATATAACTCATATGTAGATGGAATGATACCAGGTTTTACGTCTGGCAAACCTTATCAAAACTTGGACCCAGGTCTAGCCTCGAAATCTTCAATTTAGAGAAACTTTTTCAGAATGATCCCAGCATCATCCCACGGGCGACCACTCAAAAACGTCATTTAGTCTCTCAGAATGGTATCGGAAAAACTTTCAGCTCGCCTTCAAAATGAAATTCATCGAGTCGATACCTACGTTGCACCTGAGAAGAACTCAAGTGAGTCAGGAATAACCCCTGACATGTCTTCTAAACGTATCAACTTTCTGGAGTTGTTCAGACGTAGTCTGAACGAACCATTCAGAGATAAATCATTCGTCTTAAGTTCCCCGACCAAGTTATGATTCTCATTCCATTCCACATAAGCTATCATGCCCGTTACTTCCGAACCCCTTGTGAAATGAGCCCAGGAGTGATGTAATCCATATGACAATAACATCTCGACATCAGGCCCCGCTTTAGATTCGAGCCTCACCACATTCCCTCTGATTCGAGTGTTTTCGATCCCATTAGTCCTCTGCATATAGAATAGAACAGCCCCACCCCACACGGTTGAGGTTGACTAGGCCCTAATCATGGATGTACGGTGACCATGTCAGGCACGAGGTTAGGTAGTCACTCCTCCCCTTATGACAAACAGTAGTCGCCTACCCTTACAGGCAACATTCTAACAAGATCTCAATACTTTCCTCCCTTTCAGGGATAGAGTAGTCTCCCTTCCTTAAACCACATAGGATCTGGAAGACAACATCCCACTATGGACCAGGAGCATAGCTCCGGCGTGGGCGATTCTGTTTAACGATGTATATATCGTCAAATAAAACTGGCCGGTAAACCGTCGACAGAGAGGGAGAAGAGAATAAGAAATGAGGGGCTGTGATATATGTATCGTCAAACAGAGTTGCCCGGTAAACCGTAGGCAGATAGAGAGAAGAAGAAGACGAAGAAGAAGACAAGAAGAAGACGAAGAAGAAGACGAAGAAGAAAACGAAGAAG